TGCATTACGTGAAACATTCAGTTTTAAGTCAGTTTATCATTGAATGTTGTTATATTTTTCGAGGCGCATTACGAGCTAAGTCAGTTTCCTATTAAAAACTATCCATCATTAAAGGTACACTTTGTAACATTTAAATATAAGTCTGTTTACTATTAAAAGTTATTGTTACTTAGGAGCCGCAATATTAGTTGAGTCGTTCTTTGAAAAAAAATGAACGTAATATAATGCGTAATTTTTTCATTGGCTGTAAATGTTTTGTGTTAAGTCATTGTTGGTCTAAATATTGCGTACAATATTTTATGTTTATAGGAGGCATAATATTACTATTTATGTTTTAGATTAATAATGTCATCTAATAGGTCAAAAAAGATAATAGAACTTGTTCAGGTACGCGATAAAGAACACGAATCGGTGCAATCAATGGAAGTACAGGTAACCATTTAAGTAATTTTAAAAATTAGATTTGTATTAACTTCTTATTTATTTTATTCCTTAAATATGTTTTTTTGTTATAGATGTTAGCTGATATAACAAACAAGCCCGAAAATCAGCGTTATTCAAACTTACAGGTATATTTTAAAGGTTCGGAATCAGCTTCAATCAACAATGAAAATCCCATTCATAATACGACAATCGTCCACGATTGCACTGATGAAAAACATTCAAAATCGGAAAATAGCGATATCGATTTAAGTGATCAAGACCCAACATACAAAGTTCCGTCTAAAAATAAAAGGAAAATACCAGTATATCTAAGTCAATCAAAATCCCCTGGAAGTTCCTCGTCTTCTAAGTCTTCTTCATCTTCACCATCTTCCAGATCTTCCAGTGATAGTTCCGATACAGACTCTAGTGATGAACAGAACGAAACACAAAATAACATAGTTCAGGTAACCGCAGAAAAACAATCAGAGCAAATAAACATTAATGAACCTGCAACAAAAGAAGTTTCGCAAAATCAAGATATTGGAGAAAATACTACACCACAAGAAGAAAAGAAAAAGGGAAGGAAACGTAAACGGAATGAAGAAAGCTGGAAACAGAATGAAGCTAAAACTCTAAGAAATGCTGGAAAACGATACATTAGTAAGAAAAATAAAGTAATCAAACCTCGTTCTGTTCAACCACCCTGTGGTAATCAATGTAGGCTCAAATGCTGTGAAAAGATAACTGTAGATCAAAGACAGACAATTTTTGATGTGTATTGGAATCTCGGCCAGGTTGATGCTCAAAGATCGTTTATTATGTCTTGTATAACCAATATCTCTCCAAGATATAAATACACAAATGCTCGTAATCCAAGAAATTGCAATCAGGCATTCCATTTTCCAGTAGAAGGGCAATCGGTACGAGTCTGTAAAACGTTTTTTCTGAAAACCTTGGATATTTCTGATCGTGCTATACGTACTGTCAAGAGCAAAATAGACGAACATGGAATTCTAGCACAAGATCTGAGAGGACACCACAGCAACCATGTAAGGGTTGATGAAGAACTACTAAATGATATCAAACAGTTCATAGACGCAATACCAAGAATTGAATCCCATTATATTAGGCAATATTCTACTCGTGAATACATTGATGGTGGAAAAACAATTTCAGATCTATTCAGGGACTTTAAAGAAAATCAAAATAAAAATAACAAAGCAGCTGGTAAATATTGCACATTTTATAAAGTATTTACACAAGATTATAATATTTCATTTTTTCGTCCCAGAAAAGATCAATGTGATTTGTGTATGCAATACAAGAATTCGACGCCAGAACAAAAAGTGTTGCTTAAAGAATCGTACGATACCCATTTAGAAGAAAAAACATTAAGCCGTCAAGAAAAACATGATGATCGCTGCAAAATAGACGATAAAAATAAAGTTCTTGTATTTGATCTGCAAGCTGTTCTGCAATCTCCTAGAGGAACAACCTCAGGATTTTATTACAAATCAAAATTAAATAGTTACAATTTCACAATTACTATGTTAAACAAAAAAGTTGANGTTTACTAAAAGTTTTTGAGAAGCTTTCAGCAGAGTCACCAAATGACAATGGGTGTAATTTAATTCTTTATTCCGACAATTGTGCCGGTCAAAATAAAAATAAATTTATAGTAGCACTTTACCTGTACGCAGTCACTCATCTAAATATTAAATCTATCACTCATAAATTCTTAATAAAGGGTCATACACAAAACGAAGGTGATAATATTCATAGCCTTATAGAAAAGGAGATTACAAAAAATCTAAAATCTGGTCCAATATATTCCCCTCACCAATATGTAGCCATAATTAAAAACGCAAAGAAGTCTGGCAAGAAATTTTTAGTACATGAACTGACATTTGAGTCGTTTTTAGACTTAAAAAAACTGCAAGAAGATTGGGGTTTTAATTTTAATAAAACTAAAGACTGGAAAACGGTTTCATGGAATGAATTAAAAGTGATAAAAGTGAGCAAAGATACACCTTTTTCATTTTTCGTTAAAACCTCATATAGAGATAGTGAATACCAGGAAGTGAGGATCAGAAACACAAGGAAAAAAATGCTTCCTCTGAGTGAAATAGTATCAACTAAATATGTCTACATAAGTAAGCAAGAACTAAGTGAGAATAAAAAGAAAGATCTAAGAGAGCTATTATCAAAAAAATTGATCCCAAATTTTTATTCGGATTTTTATAACTCTATTATTTAATAGTGTACCTACCATAGCGTTGATTACTGATTACATACCAAGGTTAATTAAATAAGGTTCCTTAAGTTTAATTACGTTTGAATTAGAAATTTATATTTTATGTTTTATAGAGATTTACTAAAGTTAATTGTGACATTGTTTTATTTAATAAGTCGGATCACCAAAAATAGATTTATTTTTAAGTAGGTTAGAACTTTTAGTTTTTTTATAGCAATTGTTTTTTGCATAATTGGAGAAATTCTTCAGGTTGATTAATAAAACATATAAATAAGACTGTTACTTAAATGTGTTATTTTTATCTGCTACTTGTGAAGGCTGCTGCAATAAGAGATTGATGATTATATTTATGTCTTTTAATTAATTAAAAAACACCTATATTAAATTTATTTACGGTCATCTATCTAAATTAAAAAAAAAAAGACCCAATATCTAAATGTGTTTTCCTAAAGTAATCATGTACAGACTAAATACTGAATTAGTCATTATAAATAATACATTATTTAAACTGAAACAGGCTTAAAACCTAATGGAACCTTTGCACTTTAAAATATTTGCTTTACTTTTTATAAAAAACTGACTGAACTTAGAATATACTTTTAATAATATTTTTTTAAAATAGATAGAAATTATTTCCGGTTTTTCTTTTACTCAGATCCCATCCATAGTTAATCTTAGACTTCACAATACAAGCATTCATGATTAATATAAATCAGTTTTATTTTTATGCATCAGCAAGTAGGATAAGTCCTCATAGCAAACTCTTCTTTTACGATTTCCCAAAAATCGTATTTTTTGAGTTAAGTCAGTATTCCAATAAGCATGCGATATATTCTTAGATATGGCGAATAATCTAGATTTTTTATTTGTCTCCTTTATCCGGCTGTCACAATAGCCTTTAATAATAACTAGAGGTCCCGCAGTAGTCGTAATTCGACTATAATTAATTGGAATTATAAGTTTGTACACTATTATGATTGTATTTTATACTTTTATAATCACAAATTTCGCCAAGACTACACTATAAAAAGTATTAACAAAGACAAACAATATTTTATCTATTCTCAATTTGACAACAGACGTCAAGAACAGAAGTTTGACAATAAATAGTATGCATGCGTGTGTGCGTTAAATACATGGTATGTAGTGTGTGTAATGTTTTCTTTATTGATTTAATGTATCTTTTATGCATTATTTAAAAAAAATATTAGCATTGTGCACTTCTTCTCTATATTCTCTATAAGTGTGGAAAATTTCATACTCCTCCGTCCGCGCAATTTTGGTAAAAAGGGATACAAAGTTTTTGCTTCACGTATTATACGTACGTAATATATAGATAATAATAATAAAGTAATACTCAATAAAGTAAAACTCAATCAAAGTTTTTTGCAACTGTGACATCACTTAGCAACTGCGTGTGTTAATACAGAGCTTATGATATCCTAGCGTGGTGATTTATCTAATCACTGGGCCTATAATGAAACCAACTATGACGCGTATTATGTACCACAAATAAACAGGGTTTTATTGTTTTTTAATACGCTTTTATTAGCTTTTTTTTTATTGCTTAGATGGGTGGACGAGCTCACAGCCCACCAGGTGTTAAGTGGTTACTGGAGTCCATAGATATCTACAATGTAAATGCGCCACCCGCCTTTGAGATATAAGTTCGAAGGTCTCAAGTATAGTTACAACGGCTGCCCTACCCTTCAAGCCGAAACGCATTACTACTTCACGGCAGAAATAGGTGGGGTGGAGGTACCTACCCCCGCGGACTCTCAAGAGGTCCTACCACCGGTAAAAAAGTTTCATATAATGCGTATGTTAGTACATAACGGAATCTTTGAACATGATTTTGACCCCTTTCAAAGCGTCGAATTGGCTCGAAATTTGGCGTACTTATCAAGGACCGATGACAATTCAATATATTTTTCAGTTCGACCCGTTATCCTTACTAGGATAATCATCATTAGCGGTTTTTTGTCTTCCTAAAACCCGGACTGTCTTTGCTTCAAGACCAAGAAGGGAAACTACCAGGCGCGCCGATCGCCTATTCCTCTTTTTTTCCTACTTATGCTGATAGCCTTGAGAGGCTATTTCAGCTTCTCCTTGATGTGTAGGTTTTTTTTAATTGCTTAGATGGGTGGACTAGCTCACAGCCCACCTGGTGTTAAATGGTTACTGGAGCACATGGACATTTACAACGCAAATGCGCCACCCACCTTGAGATATAAGTTTTTTTTTTTTTTTTTTTTTTTTATTGCCCTTTTAGGCAGACGAGCACACGGCCCACCTGATGGTGAGTGGTTACCGTCGCCCATGGACTTCAGCAATGCCAGGGGCAGAGCCAAGCCGCTGCCTACCGCTTAATACTCTCCACAAGCCTCGTTTGAAGAAGGACATGTCATAGCGCTCGGGAAACACCGTGGAGGGGAGCTCATTCCATAGCCGGATGGTACGTGGCAAAA